CCTAGGATATTTCAGAGCAGCGACATTTGGCAACTGGGACGTTTCAGAACAGTTGCGAAACGTCCAGAACCTTCTACAATGACCAAAAAATGATCCAAATTTTCGCTAAAAAAACGATCCTTACCAATCGCCACAATTCCCAGCGCCAAGAAAAATCCAAGGACATAGGCTCTTTTGGGTTCCTCATTTTTTCCGTACGTCTTCGCGAAATAGTCGATTCTCGGGAAGAGACGATCCTTGCAAACCGCTTGAAACACTTTTGGAGCACTAACGAGACTCGCTAGAGCCGATGAGAGGGTCGCCGCGAAGATTCCAGCAGTGATTAGTGGTCCCCAGAATGATGACATTTCGACTACCTGAAAAAAATGGTACTATGGTACTATGGTAACTATGGTAGCTATGGTAGCTATGGTACTATGTAACCATGGTACTATGATAGCTATGATGACTAGGACAGTTATGGTAACTATGGTACCATGATATTATGGTATCGTAGTAACTATGGTACTATGGGAGCTATGGTAGCTATGATAACTATGGTTACTTTGATAACTATGGCAGCTATAGCAATAATGGTATTATGGTAACAATGGTTACTATGGTAATTATGGTTGCTGTGGTACTACGGTAACTGTGGTAATATGTTACTAAGGTAACTAGTACTATGGTAACTATGATAACAATGGTAGTTATGGTAACAATGTCACTATAGTGCCCAAGTACGATAGCTACCATAGTTATAGTACTGTGGTAACTATGGTAGGCCCCATAGTACCATTTTTACCATAGTTAACTGGTACTATGATACCATGGTAGCCATGGTAGCTATGGTACTATGATGTAAAATGGTACTTCTTCAAAAAAAGCATTTTCTGGTGGTCAAATGATACAAGTAACTATGGTATCACGATACTATGGTGACAATGGTACAGTGGTACAATTTCTTTTTAAAAAACTTCAATTTTCCCACAAAAAAGGGGGCGGAGCCTACCTGATAATACGAAACCAAGCCAAATGGGCAGTCTGGAGCACAATCGGGCGGTATAAACACTGAATTATTGAACAAAGCTGGCTCGGTTCCATTCGAAAACGCGACTACCGTACTACCGGTCATCCAAACCGTAGCCAGGTACACAATTGTGGTAACAAGTATGGCTAAAAGTGTTCCCAATGGAATGGATCTCTGTGGGTTCGCCAAATCTCCGCTAATGTTGGCGCCGGCCATAATTCCAGTAGCGGCTGGGAAATAGACGGAGAATACGGAGAAGAATGTGTTGTTGTCGGTGAAATGGGGCAGGAAGTTGGACTGCAATTGGTAGATGTGGTTGGAATTTGAAATTTTAAAAAATTCTGAAAAAAACTTTTTTCAAAGAATCTATGGTACCTAATAATGGTACCATGGCAACTATGGTTACTATGGTAACTATCGTAACTATGGTACCATCGCTACTATGGTAACTATGGTAACTATGATAGCGATGTTAAATATGGTACTGTGATCATTATTGTAACCATGGTACCATGGCAACTATGGAACTATGGTTAATACCACTAATATGGTACCATGGCAACTATGGTTACTGTGGTACCTATGATAGTATGTTAACTATGATTACTATGCTATTATGGTGATTATGGTATCTATGGTAACTATTGTACTATGGTAACTATGATACAATGGAAAATATGGGGTATGGGTTATGGTACTATGGTACCATGCTAATATGGTAGCTATGGTAGCTATGGCAACCGTGGTACAATGGTACTATAAACATCTAAAGAATGACCTAGTTTCGGCGGGAATTCAAAATTTTGAAAAATTGTCACGGCCTAGAATTTTCTAGGCCATATTTTCAAGGCCACCTCACCTGTAGCGTATCAAAACTGTATCCAGTCGCTCCTCGATTGATGGCCAGCTCGCTGGGCGTGAAAAACGATCCGAAAATATAGTTGGCGATCGATCCGAGAAGGATAACCAGAAGACCCAGCTGCATTTTCGACTCGAATTCCGATCCGATGAAAACGATGCCCATTAACAGGACGCAGGTCACTGAAAATTGGGTTTAATTTGACTGAAAATGAGTCAGCGCAGCGCCGCCGGGAACGCCAGAAGGCACACGCAGACGGAGGTGGTTAGCAGCTAGCGCGACAGGCTCAGGGTCGCCTGTCGCGCGCGCCGCTTACCACATCCATGTCGCTGTGCCTTCTGGCGTTTCCGGCGTTTAATGT